CGTTTATTCAGTTCATAAAGAGTATGTGTAAACTCGAACGTGATTGGCTACTAACAACTCGGCTTACTAGGAGTTTGACTGGTCCGTCTGCGTCGTGGTCTACCTTTCTTGTGTTCGACTGGTTTACTAGATGTTAGATATTTCCCATTCTTTCCTTATTTGGACTGGTCTGTTCGTAGTCGCGTCCCACCCTGCCTTCCCTTTATTCGATTGGTGTTCTTTTAGCTCTCATTCTTATCAGTCTTCTGTCTTCATTCCGATTGGTCTTCAGTTTTCGACTCCGCCTCATTCACCTGATTGGTTGATTTGTACAACTTCTGAGCACAGAATTCCCGTTATTTTGACCTGTTAGGTCCGTTGCTCCTATAGAGAGTTGCATATGCTGATCTATTCAATTTGTCTCACCAATTTGTTCGTCGATTTTTTGGAGGTGTGCTACTCGGCCGGTTTAACTTTGAACAATGGCGATCTTTTCTGAGGACAGAAGGCCAGCAAAATATGAGAGGTATAAAAAATGAAGGAACCAACAGGAAAAAGTCCATGTTTGCATAAGTACATTGTAAACTCTCAACAAGGACTGACGAACGCAAAATGATGGTAACTCTACAGAGAAGAGTCATGCAAATTAGCAGACCAAATGCGTGAGAAACTGTGACTTGGAAATGGATCAATCAGAATGGAGATAGAAAAATACTAAAAGTGGAGAGCAGACCACAACGCAATATGGATCACGAACGGACTTATAAGTAGCCAAGCAAGTAAGATATTCTGTGCAGACTATATAAGCGCCCCCAGCACAAACAGAGGACGAGCCAACTAGTGCGGGTAACAGTAGCTTGTTCTCAAATGGTACTGAAACGTTTGTGAGTAAAGCTCGGAGTGCAGTTCAGTAACAGTCACCAGACCAACTACCATCAGAAGGCTATTGAAGTTTCAGGATGCAACTCAATGACAGCTTTCAATGAGACGATTTGTTCTGATAACAAAGCAAGCACACGTTAATAATGATATTACTGATAGAAATAATAGTAACATCAACGGGACAACAAGATCAACCTTCAAAAAACTACGGCCATTGTCGTCCATGTGCTGAATGAGGTAGTTCCGGTGTTACTGAAAAATAGTACCCATTTTAAAGTCCTTCATACCCGGTGATTTTGGCATCAGACTGTTAGATTTCTACAATCAAACTGAACCTGAGATTCGGTATGGCGGTACAACAAATTCACACACCGCATTCAAATCACACCGTGTGAAAGCCGATTCAGTCTTACACGAAAATCAATTTTGTGTGAGTTTCAACTTCTCACAATCCGATAGTCTTAAGTTGGTCATATGTCACGACCTGGATTGGACCACCACATTGGAAAGTGGAAAATATTCGGTTTGGAATGGCTGAATCACGCAAGCAGTCTGAAACAAAGCGTTAGCAACCAGACCAAAACTGAAAAACAAGGCATTCGTAGAAAAGAACTCAAAATAAATCCACATTTGCAGTGAATTTATTGCGTATCATTCTTTATCGAAAAACGTCCTGGAAGGTTTTGAAATCAAACAAACCTGAGGGTTTCGATATTCGTAGTTATCATTCTCCTCGGATTGTTGATGTGACAGCGACGTAGGACAATTAGACAAACGTGTTAGCAAGTCGTCACGTGACCGTTACTGATTCGCTGGCTTTATCCAGAACATTGCTCAGCTAAACAGGCAGTGGAAGTTAAGCGGACATACATGGGAATTGAATGTCCTGAGTAACCCTCGCCGCCATTTTTCTGAAGTCAAGGACGGGGATACCATGCGTCGAGGAGTGCGGCACAATGTCTTCTCAGTCAGTTGAAGGGACCCAGAATGATCATGGCGACTTGCTTTGATGCCTTATACGACGTAAAAAATTGAAGCGAATCATTGTAGAATTTGCCTGTTAACAGCGATGTACTAATTTCACTCAAAACAATTCAGTTTTCTCTGGAGATGCTGAAGACTCTCCGAACGCCCACAACTGGCATTATTCTTCCTGAAGCTCATCAAGTCATCGCAGTCCCCGAATTTCCGTCAAATTTGTTCTACTTGAATCCATGTTGTACGAAATCCGTTTTTCGCACTCATTTGCCCATTAGTTTGGTTTTTTTTAATTAAAGACTCAGCTGAATCTCTAGTCTATGATGTCCTTCAACTGAATGTGCTGCACTGAGGATCCCACGTGTTTTCTTTGGTACACTCGAATTATCGCAGTACATTATCCTGAATGAACGCTACTTACCCTCAATATTGCACGTTGATCAAATCTTCGAGTCCTCTGTGAGCTGCGTCTTGAACATCGTTACCGCCACCGGCATCATCACCATCAGTTTCAAAACTTGTACTGACCATCCGTTGGCTCTGGATGTCATCGATTCACTCACCAATTGTAACGGAAAGTATAATTAAGATGATAGCTAACAGTCGTGAATTTTTGAGTCGATTGGTGATGCTGTTACTTGCGCCTTTTGTTATGCGACTGAAGCCATAAATGGCTATGCACTTGAATGCATTAGCATGTGTGTATGCGGATCTTCGGCTGGGCAACTGCCCCATGTCCGTTTGTGTCTCTAACCGTTGATGTACCCCGTTTATGGCTCTCCATCAGGGGAGAATACACTTGACTTTCCTGGTCTTGTACGCTTATTTTCCGGGTCACTGTCTGACCCCCCGTAACATCGTTCTACTCAGCGAAGAGGAGTCTCTCCGAAAGACCCAATCATCGCGATCAACGATGTACAGTCAGCCCACCCACGGGATATAATTTCCCTCCCTCGATAACCATTCGAGTCTTCTTATCATTACTCATACAATGATGGAAACAGATTCTATAAGTCAGTGAAACACACCCATTTACAAACAAATTTGATTTTGCGAGAGGCTTACCTGGAACCCAGCTGAATATCTTGTTTTTGGTGTTTCCAGGGTTTCACGTGAGTCTCTCGCAAAACCAAATTCGCTTGCAAATGAGTGTATTCAGCTAATTTCGTGCAATCAAGTTTCAAGTAGAATACAATGTTTGCCGGAAACTCGGGAACTGCGCCTACCTGATGAGCCCCAGGAAGAGCGAAACCGGTCGTACGCTGCCGAAGAATTTTCAACAACCTTACGAATAGTGTAAGCACCTTCCATCTTTTGAACTGTTGCTGAGCACGAATTAGCCAGATAATCGAACCGCACAGGGACAACTGTGTGCCGGAATTCAGATGAGTAAATCTCGAAAGCTGAGTACTACTCAGGCATTGCTACACCTAGAGCGGTTAGTTCAAGATCACCCGACGTCTGATGAGTGAAAACTGGAGAAAAAATCGGAGGGGGACTGACGACTCATCCGAATCTCGGGTACGTGTTTTGGAATCAACACACATTAAGGAACATCAGTGTCGTATTAACAGACGGCTGAAAGCAGTCTGAGGTCTCATTTCTACTTTCGCCCAAAGATTTATATCGATTTTTAGTCTCAGTGACTGAGTTCGTTTTACAATCACCTGATTTGATTCGCTCGTCAGCCAGCTGATCAATAATCCACGGTCACATGATTTTTCTGCGGGAACGACGCACCCGGCGAGGGGTTTATCGACTCTGCATTGTCGATGAGCGAGTTGGAAACGAGTAGAACTTTCCTTCTGCAATAACAGTATCAAGCGTGACTCCCGGACGCCGCTATTTGATTGTTTTACTAGGGTTTAATTTGTCTGGTGCATTCGTTTTGTTACGCAGCCTAAAACCTTGTCACAATCCGGTCGACCTGCTATGTCTGGACTAGTTGTGTCGTGCAGTGCACCATGTCACTCACACATATATCTCAGATTTCACAGGTAAACGAAAAACCCCGTGAGCAAAAAGAAAACACAACTTATCAATCATAAACATGTGGTTTAGTTGATTGAGTCTGGCCTCAATATGGCACTTGTCAAAATACCGCGAATTGCCACAGTTACCGGGCCACCGACTTGCTGCTGGGGCGCAGTGCAGGATGGTGTGCCATGTAGCGGACCAATCTGATGTCGTGAGTGCAGGCCTTTGTTGATCAGCAGAACTTGGCAAGACCCATTGGCTGCATACTTTACAAGAGGTTCTCAGCGGTGTAATTACATCTTCTTCGTCTGGCGACCAACCAGAAGACAGATGACACGACAAGGGTCAGATAAGTTAATGACCGGGAAGGATATATTGATTCACACTTACCAATGAAGAAATGTTTAAATCTCCGGGCGCTACCAGACATCGAAGCGACCAAACTTAACAAGGACCGTTTCTGTAATGACCAGTCTCTCTCTCTGAAGGCACTGTGAATGATGCTTGTGAGAAATGAGCTCTTGACAGTCACTCCCTCCATCCTCCCAACACCTTCCTGAATTATGCCCACTTGTTTGCTTGGTTGATCATTCCAAACTGTCGCTGTTTATATATANAATTCGGACGCATCAAAATTCAGTGCTGTTTATCAACAATTTAGAAACAACAGTATCTGAACTAATGTGAAGATAACTATGACTTCGAGAAGCATCGAGATCCCCGCTCCGCTGATTGGTCCAAGCAGTTGATTGGCCAATGAAAAGACGGTCAACTTGCGCACGTACGCATAGCTTGATCGATAACCTGATAGCGGGTTACACACGGATGCACAGATTTTTTTTAGCTCACTTATCAATCGAACAGACAGTTCTGCTATAGCCCGTTTTACGGAAAAGTGTTGATTTCATTGATGGATGAGGAAAGGTCAACTGTATAAAACCAGATGAAAACTCTCTCGAAGACGTGAAGGTAAATCTATGACGAGTGAACAGAACAGTGAGGAAAGGTGCTATCAAACCTTTAAAAAATTGAATCAGGGTCTCCCACTTTCTACAGATAAGCCTCTGCGCGATGATGATCTATGGGAGATTCATATTTGAAGACAAGTAGTTCAGTTGCTTTATGAAGTCTCTGGGGCGGAATGAATTTTTCTATCACAAATTTTTGGCTATCTCGCAACTCACCTTCAAAATACCGCGCAACGGATCGGAACCCAAATGCGCTTCCAAAATAGTACATGAAGAGGGTTGGTAGTCATATTGTGGCCGAATTACAAGAAAATTGGATGACTCGACTTCCCTTCTCTGATCCATAGTAAAACCGCAAAAAGTGAGCTGGTGCACCGAAAAGATTGAAGTGGGAGTGCGTCCATGGGTAAGATGAAAGAGCTATTTCGCTACGGACTTATTGGCTAAAGCGGTCAACCAAAAGGGTAACCTCCTAAGAGGTCGCCACTCCTGAGGAGGACTGAGTGGAGCTGGAGGAACTTGTCTTTCTTAGGCAAAACTTGTTCCCACTACATTTGTTACAAATCTTTTAATGTTCGAGTATTTTTCGGGTCCCATCTTATTTCCTTCAGGGAATCTGCAGATTCTACCTTGTTCATTCGTCCCTCAAATGAGTTCGATTCATCGAAATCTGGGATGTCTTTTCATTCTTTCGTGTTTGTCCTTCAGAGTTCTAAAGTTAGGTCCTCTTGTGATATACCAGCAATACAGAGTGCCTCATAATAGACGCGAAAAACAGTACCCATATGAAGACTTCAACACCAACTCAAACACTTATGATTTTTACGCAAACATACATGCCTGATTGAGGTTTACTGTAAAAAAAACTGACATTACAAAAGATGTTGAAAAAATCGCCTTTTTCTTCCATAGCAATTTTGAGGCGGTATGAGATGTGAGACACAGCATGTTTAACCTCAAGCGTCAATCGTGCATACTCCTCTTCAATTATTGCTCTTAACTCCACCAAATTCTTCGGTTTATTTTCATGATATACGCGAGCCTTGATCATTCCCCAAAACCAATAATTCAGAGGTATGAGATCGGGTGACCTTGCGGGCCAGAATTTGGAAATCCACGAGCTATGACTCTCTCATCAGAAAATTGCTCTCGGAGGTAAGTTCTCAATTGGTTTGAGTAGTGGGGTGGAAAGCCCTGTTGTTGAGATGAAGGTGGCGTCTCATAATACGATGCACGCTGGCGCGGGGAATGCCGGTCGACCGAGACACCTAAGTTATTGACGAAGATACCATGGTGCTCTGGGACTGCAGTTGCTCGACGGCATTCTGTACAATGGGAGCTCTTTCATCACTCAGAGACTTTCTCCCTTTGCCAGGAAGATCCAATTCATATCCAGTGGACTCAAATTTCGCAATCAAGCGTGTAATGGTCGACACGGTGAGAGGATCTTTGATGAGACCATGTTTGGTTTTGTAACCACGAGGTGCAG